GGTTTAGGGTTTAGGGTTATGGTACAGATGAGAGAGTTGAGAGGGCAACACGAGCAAACCGCCGCGGCAATACCAGCAGTACTTTATTATTTCTATGGAAAACGGGAGTGCATCAGCGCATGCTTCTTCATCGTACTTAGTCCCGGGGTAGAAGTTCGTTTAGGGTCCGGACTTGGGCTTTACACTTGAGAATTCCCCCTAAACCCCATACTGTTGACGGTATAAATCCTGCATNNAAACTATGGGAATTATGGCATATTCCGTATTATGGGTACTGCAGGATTTCTTAGCCATCAACCGTAGCCCCCTAGGCCCTGAGACTGACGACCGACCCGAAGCTCTCAAAAGCCCTCGGGCCCGAGGAAGGCCCCGTCATCCAAAACCCCTGAGCCCCCAAATCCTATAGCAAGGACTCTAAACTAAACCCTAGACCCTAAACCCTAAACCCTAAACCCTAAACCCTAAACCCAAAGCCCCTAAAAGACGAAGGTCTTGTAGCTGACCTGAGCCTTAAACCGTCAACCCTGAAACTTCGCAATCCTGAACTCTCTTGGAACAAACCTACACCGCACATCTCTACACCCCAAGGACACTGTAAGTCATGATGCAGCCGAAAGATCCCAAACCCCCCTAAGCCCGTCGAGATGCCTGATAGAAGCTGATAGCATCCGAGTAGTAGAGAGAGCCCTTATAGAACCCTAAACTCCGAGGATCCTTCAGGAAACTGTCGCAGGAACCTGAACTCTTAGCGGTTTTTGAGGGGACCCTCAGCTACCAAAAGTCTGGAGGATGTCGCCTCGCCGTACAGCGGCCCGACATCTGCATCGAAGCTGGGGATACCCAGAGGGCTGTCGGGTGTTAGGATTTAGGGCTGTAGGTTCAAACAGCCCCAGGGTTTTCGGGCTTCCAGGCTTTGGGGCTTTCGGTTTGGGGCTTGTGGGTTTATGGTAAGCTTGCATCACAAATTTAGAGTCATGGTGTGCTGGGTTTCTTTGTGCTCTGGGATTCAGGGGCTTGGAAGACAGTGACTCCGAGGAGGCTTCCCAGGTCCAGGAACCAGAGAGCCCAATACCCCTTAATTAAGGAATATACCTTGAAGTATAGGGGCCTTAATATTATGATTTAAGGTATATTCCTTAGTTAAGGGGTATCGGGCTCTCTGGGTGGGGAAGGCAAAGACTAAGAGAGGCAGCAAGCTAAGACGAAGAGTCGTGGGGAAGGAAGCCGACGCGGCGACGGAAGTGGCATGAGTTATCTGTCCTGTCCTGTCGGTCGAGATCTTGGGCGGCTGTGACAAGTCCGTTTGTCATGTCGGTTGGTTACTCTCCCTGTGTACGTATCTCTCTCCAAGCTTCAATTCCATTTCCTGCGAGTGCCATCTGCGGGACTACATGGCTGCGGCTGAGCCAACGGTGTGCTGTCCATAATGAGCAATGTTGGATCGTTGTCGTTGATTACAAGTCAGTTTTTTGTCTGAGTAGTGGTCCGACTGGACTCACTTGACCCCGCAATGCTCGTAGCACCGTTGATCCCATGATTGGGTATTGGATGTTGTGTTTGGGTTTGACCCTGACATGCCTGACTCTGGACCGCAAGCCCGAAAACACCCTACACCCTGAACCCCAGGGCTTAAAATCCCCCAGCACCTTTCGGGAGCCCTCTTTTAAAGCCCCTTGTTAGATCCCTTCAAGAACCCGTAAACACTTAAGACATCCGATCTTTGTGGATTCCGTATCAGTCCCTCATCATTACCAAAACAAACAGTCGCTGAAAAGGAGCCTGCCACATACCAGCCCCTTATCAATACACCCAAAATCTCATAGGCCCCGCAGCTACTGTGGGTGGGCGGCGCTTAAGCCCCTCGCAATCAATTTCCAAAGGGAGCGAAAGAAGCAATAGAAGCCCTAAGCCCTAAACCCTAAACCGTTCTACAGACACGCTTTCCCAGCTGATCGCCATAGTACGATGAACTCGTCACAGCCTTGTCGCAAGAGACTGTCGTGTACGCGGTACTCCACAGCAAACCCTAACCACTAATGTAAAACCCCAAGCCCTAAACCATCCTAAACCCTATAAACCCCAAACCCTAAACCCTAAACCCTAGACCCTAAACCCGAAACCCCCCAAACCCTAAACCCCTACACCCCAAGGCCACACAAGAGCCCTGAAACCTGTCGGAGGGCCCTGGCAGCGAGCCTGGCCGCCCCGAAAGGTTCCCGCTCGGCGGAAGGCCGGCTTTAGGGTTTAGGGGGTTTAGGGCTTAGGGTTTAGGGTTTAGGGCGTAGGGTTTAGGGTTTAGGGTTTAGCATGTTTCTTCCTGGTAGTAGTTTTGTTGCTGTTGTTGTGTTCGGTCGGTCTCCATCAACATGCTTCGGAGAGAATGGGCATGGTAGCAAAAACGAAAGAGACTGATGAAGAGCACGAGGAAGAAGAGAAGACGACAACGAGGAGTTTAGGGTTCAGGGTTTAGGCCCCACCCCCCTCGCCAGAAGGTTCACAGACTTGCTGCAAAGCGTCCTTGGGATTTTTGTCGCCGGAGTTAAACCTTTACGAGCACTCCCAGCCCATCTATCCTAAGCCCCAAACTCAAACCCTGAAAAAAAAGACCCGAGCATGCTAAACCCTGAACCCAAAAGCCACGTGAATCCTAAGATTCTGAACCGTAAAGTAGGAACCCACATCACAACACCATCCAACACCTTCTGGCGTGAATCAGTTTTGGTTTTGGGAGACTCGAGGCTAAGATTTGTGATGTTGGTTCAGGGTTTGGGGTTTGGGCTCACAGGGTTTGGAGTGTTGAGGCCCAAGCTACGACAGCCCGAACAGAAGATGCAAGCAAGCCCCTAGGAGTACTCTGTCCCTGAACATGCCCGACATTATTAAAAGCACCAAAACCGTCTAAAACCATAGCACGTGTTTAAGCAAAGACTGCAAGAACTGGGTTGACAGAGGCGACCAGATGCTGGAGTTTTCTGATGTTCTCCTGATGATTTGTGGGAGCTTGCAGATCAAGGGTCTTTGTTAAGGGCACTGACAATGCTGCTGTCAGGCAAGGCTGTGAGACTCATAGTACTGTATCTTTATGGTCCCGCACAATGCAGGATTTTTGTCCACGAGCAGTGCGGGTCCTGCATCAGGGTACATTCTGTCCAAAAGTAAAGAAGCCACCTTCCATGTGGCAGGCATGGCGAGCGTATCCCTGCGCGACGGCTTTCTGAGCGCTGCTCGTCCGAGATCGCAAGGGCTTTTACTTGGCCCTTTAAGTTCGTTCTAGTGCTAGGTCCTCAGGTGAAGGTTTTCTCGGTGAAGGATTGAGGTTTGTTGCACGTCATCAGGAAGTGCTCTGAAATAGGCACCTTCTGCTGCGCATTAAAAAAACTCGCAGAAATCCAAAGAACCCGCCTCGTCGCCTTGTCGCAGGTCTCTGGCCTTGATGCCGGCGGGTCCCTGGACCTTCAGGTCCATGACTCGTTCACATGCCGTCTGCGGAAAGGGGCTTGAAGGTAAGAAAGAGGTCCGTCTAGAGAGGTAGCCCCTACATTGGTATGCTACTTGTTGGGGAACAAAACGGGATAGGGCTGAGGGCTTCGGTTTAACATCGCCCAACTCAAGCCCCAAACATGTCGCGATTCCGGGTTCTCAAACGCCGACCCGAAGCTTTCGAAAGTGAAGCGAAGAGCTTGCAGCATACTTCGGCCCCCCCCAAGCAGTACTCCGGCCCTTAAACCGTAAAACCTCTGAACCCCTGATGCTCCCGAATCTCTAAACACCTGGTTATTTCTCTAAATTTTGGGCCCCTTCGTAGGTCCCAAGTATAGTACTTAAAAAAAGGACCCTCAAAGGTAGTTTGGTTTAGGGAACTCCATCAGCGCAAACGTCTAAACCCTAAGCCCTGAATGCCTCAACCCCGAGATCCTCAGGTCCCTAAGCCCTAAATCCTAAACTTCTAAACCCTAAGCTTCTAAACCCTAAACCCCCCAAACTCCCTAAACCCCGTAAACCCCGTAAACCCCGTAAACCCCCTAAACCCCCTAAAACCCCTAAGACCCTTAAACCCTAAGCCAACTAACACAGCTGCCCCAAACTGTGCCCAGGGGCTCCTCCTCGAGGGCCTCCGGGAGAGCCTGGCGAACTTAACGCCGGCACAGGCCTGGGAGACTCGGGGCTTCCAGGGCTTAAAAGGGCTTAAAAGAGCTTAAAGAGCCTTTGGGGGTTATAAGGGTTTAGGGGTTTAGGGTTCATAGGGTTGAGGGTTTAGGGTTTAAGGGCTCAG